CATAAAGTGGCATTAGGCCAGATGAGTAAGGGTTTTGTCAAAGAACCTTTAGGAGCACCTTTAAAAGATGGGAATAAAGTAGGGAGTTTTAAAAGGAGAGAATTCCACACTTTGAAGCCTGAAGTCATGGCCACCATGGAAAGGAAGATGCAAAGAGGCCAAAATTGGAGGAATCCAGAATTCCTGGAGGGTTGTAAGGGATACACAGTAAGGGAGGATCAAAGCCAGGAATCAATTTGTATGCAAGGATAAGGATTTTAAATTGAAGGTCTTGGCTTGGAAGCCAGTGTAGGTCAGCACACATGACATGTGATACCACCATTCTCCCTGTTATAGGTACTGTATATGCACTGACAGCTGGAATATACATTGAGTAAACAAATCTGAGATTGTATTTTTTTAAAAACTTGAATTTGAAAATGTCAAACCATACAAACATACGAAATCAAAGCAGAGGTAAACAATTCAGCAATCGAACCTGACCCTTGCATTCGATAAGATCATGGCTGATGTGTTTGATACAATTTCACATTTCTATTTACCTCCAATAACCTTTTGATTCTCCTGACTAACAAGAAGCTATTTACCTCTGTCTTAAGCATGTTCAATGATCCTGCCTCCACTGCTTTCTGAAGCAGAGAGCTCCAAACTTGCCCTCTGACAGAAAAAAAATCATGTTTTAAAATTATTCAGAATACAGTGCCCCCTTGTTCCAAACTGAAGAACCATACTTTTCACACCAACCTTGTCAAGACCATTCAGAATCTCATACACTTCAATCTTGTCCCTTCCATTGTAGTCTAAAAGAGTGAGGAAACAAGACTACTCTGTCCAACCTATCGTTGTAAGACAACCTGTGCATACCAGCTATCAGTCCAGTAAATATTCGTTGAACTATTTCCTGTGCATTTACATCCATTGTTTAAATAAGGAGACTAAACCTGCACACAGTATTTAAGATGTAATCTCAGTGCCCTGTATAACTAAACATAACATCCTTACTTCTATGTTCAATTCTTCTCATATTTAAAGGATTAGGATTATTAGGTTCTTCACTCAGAGAGTGGTAGGGGCGTGGAATGCATTGCCGGAGAGGGTAGTGGAGTTTGCCTCATTAGGGGCATTTCAGCGGCTATTAGATAGGCATATGGATGATAGTATAAGGTAGGGGTGAGGGTTAGATAGACCTTAGGTTTAGGGTAAAATTTTGGCACAACATCGTGGGCCAGTGGGCCTGTACTGTGCTGTACTGTTCTATGTTTTATGGTAGGCATTCTATTAACCTCTTAAACTCATGCTCTAGAATACCCAAAGCCCTCTGCACTTCCAAATTCTGCACTTTTTGTCAGTTTAAGTAATACTCTGCTTTTTCTTTATTCTTCCTGCCAAAGTGAACAACTTCCAGTCACTCAACCTATCTAAATCTGTCTACAACTTTCTTATGTCTTCTTCACCAGTCTTCTCTGGTGTTGATGAGATGCTATTGGGTTTAATAGGATTATATTTTTAAGTGTTTCAAAGTCTTTAAACATCAGTAACATGAAAATAGTTGGTGTTCATTAATCCTCACAGCAAAACAGCACAACCAACTCTCCCTCATTTCAATACACTCTGTTTAACTGGGACAAAGTTACAGTATTAGGACCAGCAAAACAAAGACAAGCATGAGAATTCCTGGAGGCCTGGTTTTCAACCACTGGTGCGAAAAAGAAACAATTTGACATGGACCCCATCTACATACCACTATGGTACAAAACTGCCCACCATGACAGACCGAACCATATAACTTCAGAGTGGGACAGAACAACAGAGGTTCAATAGAGGCTGCACAGCACTGACAATGTCACCGAGAAGGGAGATGAAACGTTTGCAGGAAAACTAGTCAGCTCAGCGAACCAACCAACAACTCCAACCGCAACCCGAGCTACAGATCTTCGTTCAAACATTAAACAAAAACCCAAACAGAAAAATAAATTATATGAAATTTGTGTACCTTACATCACATTACGATGAATTTGATCTGGATGTGGAGACTTGTTACCCTTCAGTGCCATCATTTTGTTTTGTATCACTTTCCTCATGACTGTAATTCTCCCAAGTTCCCAACGCTCAGAAATACGTAATTGGCTGTGAAAAACTTGAGGACAGCCTGAGTGTGAGAATTGCAACAGTCCTTCTGTCAAAATATATCTAGGTTTTAATGTTTTTGTTTCTGTGGAGAGTACTGTAGTTAGCTGGTTTTAGTTTTCAGTGTAATGGGATTTACAATAATATTTTCCAGGAACGTACATAGCAGAATGTTTATTCAATTGAAGATCTTGCCATATTCCTTTTGGATATCTCCAAAATCATACCTTATGGAACTATCAATGCAAGAAGTGTGCTTGAACAATGCACAAAGAAATCATCTTTAGTTAGAGCTAGGTTTTTAGCCCCCTTTTGGGGAGGAGCACGGAGATAGGCAAATGGTGGATAGCCAATTAGGTATGGCTGTCGATGGGGTGGGGAGCTACAGAATCTTTTTATTTAGACGTTTTAAAAAGTTGGAGAGAGGGTGTTTCCAGCTTGAGGTGCCTTACCCCACTGTCCCTCTTACCTGATAAAAGCAGCCTGCTATGTTTTCATAAGCGAGGCCCTAGTCTTACCATTCGGCTTTGAGCTCCCACCCACCATCCTTAATGATGACCTACTGGCCAATTTACAGGAAATCACTGCTGAGGGACTGTTTTGCACTTAGTGTGGGGTCATAACGTCTATTTGACCCCAGAGCCAAGGTCCTGAGTGAAAGGACAAAATCCTGCCCATAATTAGTTTTTCTTTACAGTTAGATATAGGTAATTTTAAGATATATTAAAAGATTTTGGCACAAAGTGATCTCCTACATAGATTAAATCTTATTCTGAGTGATTACAATAATAAGATACATTTCATCTGGAGTTGTCAAGTAGAACATAATTCTACATGTGACCTGCCAGTAAAAGTAACATTTTGGTTTTTTTGGAATAAATACAATGGAGAAAAAAATTTAATAAAAGGGTGCTAAGAAATGCCGAGAATCCTATGCTCTACTTCAGACCTCTGAAACTAATTGAAAACTTGCATTAAGAATATGATGAATAGCACCAGCTCTGCTGAACATAGCTGCAAAAAACAAATAGAAACTTAGAAAAAATAGCTTGCAACAAGATATAACACAGTGTGAAGCTGGAGGAACACAGCAGGCCAGGCAACATCAGAAGAGCAGGAAAGTTGAAATTTCTGAAGAAGGGTTCCAACCCAAAACATCAACTTTCCTGCTCCTCTGATGCTGCCCGGCCTGCTGTGTTCCTCCAGCTCCACACTGTGTTATCTCTAACTCCAGCATCTGCAATTCTTACTATCTATCTTGCAATAAGAAAAGTCTGCAAATTTAAATAGAAAGATAAAGAGTATGTTTATCAAAGGTTGAGTTACTTGATAGAAGTCTTCAAAATTGTGAAAAGTTTTTTAATAAGGTATATAGGAGGAACAAAACAAAAGGTAATCACTAAGAAATCAAATAGGGAATTCATTCACCTGGAATGTGCAACTTGCTACCACAGGGAGATGCCCAAGCAAAAAATATAGATGCACTTCAGGAGCAGCTAGGTAGGCAAATAAGGAAGATGAAAATGGAGGACCATTCTGTTAGAATTAGATGAGAAATGAGAAAAGGAGACATGAGGTTGCCACAGTGGCAGAGTTGTTAGCACTGTTGCCTCACAGTGCCAGGGACTCGGTTCAATTCCAGTCTTGGGTGACTATGTCTGTGTGGAGTTTGCATGTTCTCCCCGTGGGCCAGATGGCCCCTTTCTGCACTACAGGGATTGTATGTTTTCGCAAGTGGAACATAAATACTAGCATGAACTGCTTGGGCTGAATGGCTTGTTTCTGTGCCTACGTAATCCCATAAGATGGCACGGGTCATTGTGGCGTTAGATGGTTAAAGTGAAACGATCTGAAGAGGCGCAGAGAAGAACTAAATACAAAAGTAAACTCTTTCCTGTGACACCTAGCAAGCAGGAACTCTGTCTAATGAGGCAGGGGGATGGTTTGAAACCGCTCTCTGTAGTATTTTTCTGTTTGTGAGAGGCCTGTGGTCACCGCAGACCAGCCCTGATACATTTATATTTACGTTTATAGGTAAATAGGCATGCCAAGTCATTCAAGATGACTGACTGTACACTTAGTGGAATGGGAAATCACTTCCAGTGAGCTGCTCTACAAACCACCAGTGGAAGAAAAGTAGTCAGCTAACAAATTTCAATCTGTACGAATATGAATGTGCATCACTCTGCAGTGAACTTGTTCAATGCATGTATTCTGCATAGATGTTCAATAATAATTTTTAGATTAACATATTGTTAACAATTGGATTCATTTGGCTGTGATCAGTCACTTGACCTCAAAACAGGAGTCTGTATTATAATCATGTCATAATTTACAAAGAAGTCAATTGCCAGATTGTGAGTAATTTAGTACTTTTGAAGAGTTTGCCTCAACTGTGAATAAAATGGAATGTCAACAGTGAACGTTCCTCTATTGTCTCCCTATCCAGGCTAGGAAACTCAAGGACTTCATGAATGAGTTTGTCGGAAGTGTGGTGGATTGGCAACAGCACTAGTCAGGCTTGAAGGCAAACCAGATTGCACAGAAAACAAATAATAACTGTAATTCACAAGATTTATCTACTCAGCTGCACTTCAACCATAGCTTTTGTGTTTTCAAATTTCAAAATAATTACCCATTAGAGGACCAAAATAATGTTTATTGCTACAAATTTAGTCATAATTCCTAGAAATGGGCAAACAACAGAAGACCTGTATTACAGTACACAGAGACCAGATTGTATGTGCTACTGAGTGAAGATTTTCAATTTTGCAGAAAAGGGAGAGATGCTATTGGTTCTTATAGTGAGTTTTTTTTTCCAAATCCTTAAATCAGACAACAAACAAATGATTCATTCTTTTCTTTATATGTAGGCCCTCCAGGAAAGCGTGGCAAACCGGGAAGAAAAGGAGTCAATGGTAAGTCTTGTATCATTTGTCAAAATCACATGCATATTTTTATACAGACAACTGAACAGCTGATTTCCTTGCAAGTGACCTTTGACATGTGGTGAGCCAAATGACTGCTGTTGCTGCTTTCACATGCAAAAAGCTCTGAACCAGAGTGCACAGTTTTTCTTTGAAGTCACAAACAGGGACTTTGTTTTCTTTTCCTGGTATAATGTGTCAAGCAACACCAATCATCACCAGAAATGCTTTTAGTGCCAGAAAGTTCTCTACATTCTTCGAGAAGCTACTTCTTTATAAGAAGTAGTTAGTAAATATGAATAATTTGCATTTCAGTTTGTCACCTTTTTATCAGCATTGGAAAGGCTAAAACTTTATGAAATAGGTTTTGCAGAGACTAAAATGTTGATTCATCATTTAATTACTATTTCCTACAGCAAAATATAAAAGAAAACAGATTTTTTTAAATTTTCTAGTTTTTCTACTGTCTCCCCTCATTATGATTGTGAGCTCTCCTTACTTATGAGATCCACCTTTTCCATTAACTCTATTCCTGCTAAACTGAACACCCAATTTTCTTCCTGGTTTTCTCTGTCACTCTCACTCTCTGCGCCATGCCCCCCCCACCCCTGACTTTCCTTTTCCTCTCTATTTCTCTCTCTGTAATGTTACTGCAACACCTAGTAAAGGAAATAGTGAGAATGTAAAAACTGAAAAATAGTTCCTGAGAAACCAATATTCTGAAAAAATCTCATCAAGATCTCTCCACAAAAAATTATTTTGACCTTTGCTGCCGAGTACAATATCAGCTTTTACCAAAGTCATAAATTAGATCTAATGTGACTGTGATAGATGTAAGCTCTTGCTTCTTATTCTTAACCTGTCTGTAGCCTTCGATTTGCTTGATGACACATCCTTCTCTACCATCTCACCATCCAGCTCTATAGGTCTGCTCTCATCTGATTCTTATCTGTTTAACTGCAGTGAGAGAATCAGCTGTAATATCTTCACTTTCCATTCCCATGCTGTTTTTTGTGGTGTCCTAACTTCACCCCTCTCTTATTTAGCATCTTCATCCTACTGCTTGGTGATATCATCTGAAGACACATTGTTAATGTGTACATGGAAACTGATGGCATTCAGCTCTACCTCAGCACCACTTCTCCACTGTTATGAAAGCAGTGAATTGCTGATCTGTTATCCGATATTATATGAGGAGAACTTGACTCCAACTAATGTTGGGAAGGCCAGAGACATTGGGGCTGGATTTTACATGGCTCTGCCACATGTGTTTTCTGCTGGGAAAGGCATGTTAGTTAGTGTACACAGTGGGTAGGGATTTTTCTTTATTCATTCATGAGGTGAGGATGTTGTTGACCAGGCAGCATTTATTGCCCATCCTTAATTACCCAGAGAGCAGTTGCGAGTCAACCAGATTGCTGTGGGTCTGGAGTCAAATGTAGGCAGTTTCCTTCCCTAAAGGACATTAGTAAACCAGATAGATTTTTCCAACAATCAGCAACGGATTCATGGTCATCAGTCGATCCTTAATTCCAGATATTTTTATTGAATTCAAATTCCACCATCTGCTGTGGCAGCATTCGAACCCAGAAGGTTATCTCGGTCTCTGGATTCTTCCCAGCGATAATGGCACTAGGCCATTGCCTCCCCTTGAGGTGGGTATCAAAATCAGCAACCTATCTGCTATATTTAAAATACTTAAGGGTCAAATGAGCTTGTTTTTAAGCTCATGTGACACAACATTAATGTCCCAACTCTGAGACAGGAGCCCAGGTTCAAGTCCCACCTGATCATTTCTGAACAGGTTGATTAGAAAATATCTAATATGGTTGGCTTGTGCAGGCAGAAGTGGACAATACACATTTTAAAAAGATTTTAAAAGGCAAGGAAACAAGTGGATAACTAACTTCAGGTGGGGTGCTGTTCAAGTATCAAGGACAATGATGCCCAAATATAGTACCTCCCTCCTGTATGTCTGCTTTCCAAAACTCCCTCATCCCCAAATTGCCCAAACAGTCTCCACCCAATATTTGACCCGAAGACATACATCCATTGACAAATTGTGTCATCACTAGGATTGCCTATTTCTGACTCTATAACTCTAGCCCTGCCTTAGTACTTCTGTTACTGTAACCCTCTATCCATGCCTTTGTCACTTCTGGACTTGATTACTTTAACACATTCTTGGTTAATTCCCCCCTTTATCCTGTATAAACTTGAAGTCAGCCTTCTCGACCTCTGCATGTAGAAGTCCTGTTCAGTGATCAGCTCTTTGTTCTTTGATCTACATTGGTGTTCAGTTGAGTAATGTCTGGAGTTTAGTTCTCATCCAACTTTTCAAATCCCATCTAGGTCTTGGCCCTCCACATCTCTATGACCTTGCTCAGCTCCATAACTCAGATTGCTGCACTGTTCTGCTTTATTTAAATATCCAGAAAGGCTGTTGCACAAACTAAAAATTTCTTCCCTATCACCAAATCACCCATGTTATTCTGCACCCTTATCCACCACCACTAAGTCACCCATGTTTCCAATGAATCAGTTTTCTTGCACTATTCTAATCTCTTCCTTATCCCTGCCTTCAGCTGTTCAGGTAATTGTATATTTGCTGTTTAATTGTACGCAGGATTTTGCCATAATTGGATCTTGAATGCACACATGCGCGCACACACAAAGAGGCACTTAAAGGCCCTCGTGGTGCAATGGTAGTGTCCCTACATCTGGACTAGGAGACTCAGGTTAGAGTTCTATCTGATCCAGTGGTAGAGGTAGAACATCTCTGAACAGATTGATTAAAAATCTCTATAAAGAGGCACTTACCCAAGCTCTGGTCTGGTTGAGGTAGGAAGTTTATGTTTGTTAAGTTTCACTTTAATTAAGTATACGACAGAGTAAAGATTGGTTCCAGTGCTGTCCTTCATCCACTGGTTTTCTGGAATAGTACACTATGTGGACCATAAGCTCCAGAACTCCCTCTCTGTCTTTCCACTTCTTTATCTTCCCTTTAGATGTTTCTTAAAACCTGTCTCTTTGACTAACCTTTTGACCAGCTGCATTAATATCGCATTGTGGGGCTTGCCGGCAAATTTTGCTTTACAACGTTCCTGTGAAATGTCTTGAGGTATTTTATTTTGTCATGAATACTAAATAACTACAAGTGGTGTTGTTTCAAGATTAATGATGAGCAGTCTAACTCAAATTAGCAAAGCTAGGCATGTGGTATAAATGGTCAAAAACTGATAACAGTTGTTTTCTGTCTCGAAGCTAGTGTACTATTTTATAGAGTTATTATTCAGATCTGCAAATTATTTTTTTGCCGGGTCTGCTCTGGTCATCAAGCACTTATCTGCTCTAATCCACTTCCCAACTCTCGTCCATAACCTTCTGTATTTTCAAGCAGTGAATTCCAGATACCCACCAGCCTCTGAATGAAAACAAATTGTCCTTTAAATTCCCTTTAAACCTCCTGCAGCTTGTCTTAAATCTATGTCCCCAGCCCCACTCCCCCAAAAAATTGACTCTCTATTAAGGGGAAAGCTTTCTTCTTATCAACCCTATTTTTGCCCCTCATAATTTTGTAAACCCCAATTAGATTTGCCCTCAGCCTTCTCTGCCCTCAGGAAAACAACCCTAACCTATGCATTCTGTCTTCATAATCTCTTCATTATAGTCACAGTTTCTCAGTAGTTTGAGTTTTACCATAATATATGATGTACAACATATATTTGTTAAGAGCTGCAACCTCATTCTGTCCTGACTAATGTGTTAGGACCTTGCTGCATGAGGAAAATTCAGAGTACAGATCTGATATATTATATTTTAGATTAGTTAATAAAAATGAGTAATATACATAGTCACTGAGCCTGTGAAATTAATATTCATATTTGTGCCTTCTCATATATCCCTACAACAGACTAAACAGAAGGTTTCCAAAGACAACATTTGAGAAAAGCCTAGAGCTACTGAACGTTATACTATCATTGTGAAAATTGCTTTCCACAAAATATTTTTATTGTTAAAAGAAACCATAAAGTGAGTGTATATTTCCGTATCATCTTTCATGCAGAAAAATAATTGGCCACAAATGTTGAAAAAGCTTAAACAAACATGTTTTGAAATTTTTATTACTGCAACTTTTAAATTTTCTACTGTTTTAGCAAGTTTGTAGCTGACACGTTAACTCATTCTTTGCACAAATCAGTTTCCATTAAAATATTTTACAGTGCAACAATCTCTATGCCATCAATGTAGAAAACAAATTACATCTGGTGTACGGCAAGATGTATATTCAGGGCAGCAAACTTTCTTCTGAAATAGCTGTAGGGAATAGATCATTCAGATTGCCTCAAACATCCCATTTACTAAACAAGAATGACGTTGAAATTCTATGCTGCTTAACTTTGCGGTGTAATATTGCCTCATCCCTTTTCTCTTGGGTAGCATGATGTTTACATTGGTTTACCCAGTCCAAAATTGATCTCCCATAACTCATGATATGTTATGAACTCTTTCCATAATCCAACCACCGAAATAGCTACTTTATTTGTAGCAGATGATAATAAGGACCATTGGTTTGCAGCCCTGAATTGCCTAGTTTACAATTGCACAACAGTAATGCCAAGAAGTTTCTGTTGTGAAGAAATTTCAAAGCATCAAGATTGCGGGGAGTTTGAGCTTTTATCTATTTTCCCCCTCAATCCAAATTTCTTTGGAGTATATGTGTCATCCCTATATGCTTACGTTTTTATAACTAGATGGAGTGAAGAAAAGTCAGGCAGCATTCAGGAGGGTTTTTGCAAGCAAATACTTCAGCACCTTTCCCTGCAGCCCCCCCCCAAAATATATGACTGCATTTATTGCCAACACAAAGCATGTACAAATGCATTGTGTTGGCAAAGTTATACAACAACAAGCAACGTAAGTGCCAATTTAAAAAAAATTACTGGAATGGAGACAAACATCAAACAAAATTCCCTCACAGGACCTTGTGA